CAGCTGTAGTGGCAGGACTATTTCTCATGGACCACGCGTTTGCGTTTTCATGTGGACGGAGATTTTTTTTTAAACGGAAGAAGGAAAAACTACATGTGGACATGGCCTTATTTTAACTAAAAGAGACAAGTAAATAGTAAATAATAAAATAAGAACAAATAAATTAATGACAATCAATAGCACAAACAAAAACAATAACAAGAAATGTTTTCAGTTAGGTCTATCTTTAATCTATACTCAACTGTAAAATAACACTGGATAGTCTTCACTGTATAATGAAAGGCAGCAGCAGGTTTATTTAGACTGCTGTCTCTTTAAGACCTCATGCACGGATCTAATGCTTGTAGGTACATTTTCAGACATTTAATGAGGCTCAGAGGGGGCATGGGTGCAATTGAATTCATACATTCATGTGGAGATTAATGTTTTAAATATAAAATTTTGAATACAGAAATATTAAATTTAAATAAATGAAATTATACGCTAAAATTGAAACTAACTCCACCAGCAGGTGGCGGTAAGTCACTGATTTTATCACTGAATATATTCATTCAATTGATTCGTTTGAACAGCTGATTCATTCAGGAATGAAATCTTTATGTATGGGTAATCATGAATCACCGACTCACTAGATTCGTTCAAAAACGCACTTTCATTCATGAATGACTTGACTGTGTTTGCTTTTAGAGATGCGCAGCAGCTCAGCTGTTACTATATTTGGAACTATTTTCGTTGATGCAATATATACAATAAGAATGTTTGCGGGAGCGTGACACACACGTTGCGGGAGTGGGCGGTAATGGTCATAAATTCAGGGGGAGCGGGCTTAAGAAAACTGTCCCGCACAGGTCTCGCGTTCCCCCTTCTCCACCCCCAATCATTAGTGCCGCTTGTTCGGTCTTTGACAGAACATATAGGACATTTTCTAACATAGCGCCATAAACAAAATGTATTTCAAATTTAATTCAAGCACTTTCAAGGACCTATGTTTGTTTTCAAGTACTTTCCAGGCCTTGAATCCATATGTCTGAAATTCAAGTACTTTCAAGAAGCGTGGTAATACTAGTTAACACAAGTTTCAGATGGTTTACATGTAACTTTCCCATAATGTTTACAAAATGTTATTTCAGCCGAACACATTTTTGTCCCTAGCGTCATATTTAGGCAGTTAGTACACACTTCTGGTCACGTGTCATTCTTGAGAAGTGGGACAAAACAGGGTGAAAAATTAAAAAAATAATACCTTGTACTCAGACAAATGAAACTACATTTATGTATCTTATATGTACTAAGCTATTGAGCTATGCTTTGATACAACCTCCCAACTTTTCTCTTTTTTAACAAAATTTGCTTTACCTTGGACTGTGTAATATAATGTGTAATATAATTTCAACTTTACCTTTAACAGCATTCAAAATGTTTTTAACATTTCAAAACGCATTCTCGTGTTAGCAGACAGATTACACTTTCACATATGACCGACAATTCCACAACAAATATAAAATATCAAAATGAAATATTATCAAAATATTCAACTGACGGAGGTGACAGAACTGACGGAGTTGACACATCTGACGGTGGTGACAAAAACCTGAATTTGTAGTCATTTTAACGATCAAATACATTGTAATGTAAAATCAATTATCAATGTCTGTCATTTTTGATCAATTTATTGCATCCTTGCTGTATAGAGGTATCAATTTCTTCAGATTAATTCATTTAAAAAACGACCAAACTTTTGAACTGTAGTGTATTTATATTACATTTTTACATTTAAATGACCTTCGCCATCATCAAATGTTAAAAGTTAGTTAATCTTTAAAAACATGAATAATTTAATAACACTGTAAATGTAATCTTCAGAAAATCTCAAAATGAAAATAAGTTTTTCACACTATACATTATAATGTTGTGATGCCTGAATTCACTTATAGTATTTAAAACAACTAATTTTAGTTAATATTTCTTTCTTTTTTAATTATTTAGACAAAATAGTACAGAATCAGGCATAACATAAATTGTTTTTTTATTTTAATAATATCAGTGCATCCCACAAATTTAAGTGGACTTTTTTTAAACTCTTTAGATGTTATAATGTAAATAAGAACATGGCAAATTTGAATATCACAGTTTAAGCAAGCTGTAAGAACAACTCTAGTGCTACCACACACAGAAATAAACCCAAACAGAGGTTCTCGAATGATCAAGGGCACTTCATGCTTCAGTTTACAGTCTCAAACTGAAACAAAGCTGCCAAAAATTCTTGGCTAGCAAGCAATTTAAGTTTTTGAGCATGACCGTTCCACTTTAACCAACAGGAGAATGTAATCAACAAGGCCTTTTGTCACAGTGGTGCCCCAACAACCTTGCGAAAGTCCAAGGTAGCATGTGTTGAATGCTCACTCACCTAATGCGATTCCACCATGAGGAGGGGCCCCGGAGTCCAGAGCCTCCAATAAATGAGAAAGAAGTGATGGGTCCTCCTAAAACACAAGCAAGACAGAGAAAAAAGGACAAAGTGGACCTTGTAATTCACAGCCTTTTCAGCTTGAAAGGGGATTGTTCATAGTCTCGGCATGTATAAATCGTGCAGATCCATACAACTACTTAAGCGTCAACAGAGTAAATAGGCCTTCAAAATGATTTCCTTTATAGTCACAAATCTTAAGATCGACCTGAGTAAAAACACCCTAATGTGCTGTTTCTTCTCCCTGGCTCTTAAGATCCTAAGCATTTGTTTTCTTTAAAGGCAGTTAAATATAGCTTAAAGGGTTGCCACAGCGACCGAACGGGTAGTCGGTTGTGCGAGGGTGTTAAGTAAGAGTCACAAATAAGAAAATGGTGCAGTCGGGTATCTGGACACGTCCATTACATGTGCTTTAACTCGCTGTCAGAGTAGCATTAAATGATGCTCTTTGCTCGCAGTGTAATTTTTCACTCTTGTTCCATTACCTTGAGAATCGTGTCCAGGATGTACAGCTGCTGAGAGGCATTGTGGATGCGAATCGAACCTCCTCCGATCTCGCAGCCATTCAGCACCAAGTCGTAATGCTGGCCACGCACCTGAGAGAGCAGATAAACAGGTGGGGGAAATGTGTGGAATTCAAAGCGAGATCATACATTTCCTCTATGAAATACTCTGCTCATAACTGTAGACTTACAAAGTGATAAAACCAGACTATTTCTGGGTATCGCCAACTACAGGTGCATCTCAATGAATTAGAATGTCGTGGAAAAGTTCATTTATTTCAGTAATTCAACTCAAATTGTGAAACTCATGTATTAAATAAATTCAATGCACACAGACTGAAGTAGTTTAAGTCTTTGGTTCTTTTAATTGTGATGATTTTGGCTCACATTTAACAAAAACCCACCAATTCACTATCTCAACAAATTAGAATATGGTGACATGCCAATCAGCTAATCAACTCAAAACACCTGCAAAGGTTTCCTGAGCCTTCAAAATGGTCTCTCAGTTTGGTTCACTAGGCTACACAATCATGGGGAAGACTGCTGATCTGACAGTTGTCCAGAAGACAATCATTGACACCCTTCACAAGGAGGGTAAGCCACAAACATTCATTGCCAAAGAAGCTGGCTTTTCACAGAGTGCTGTATCCAAGCATGTTAACAGAAAGTTGAGTGGAAGGAAAAAGTGTGGAAGAAAAAGATGCACAACCAACCAAGAGAACCGCAGCCTTATGAGGATTGTCAAATCGATTCAAGAATTTGAGTGAAAGTAGGTTTGTTTTATTAGGTATGAAACCAATTTTTTTTCTCTGACATTTACATTACATTTCCAGTCGATTGTTATGACTAGATAAGCATGGTTTTAAGTGGTTTTTATTCAGACCAACTCGCTAAATAACCATTCAGACCATGGACAATTTGACTCTTATAATAAAATTACTCATAATTTACTGAATTTAAACTTAATTTACTAAATTATTAAATAATTTACTCATAAATCATTATGACTTGTGAGCAAATATTAGAGCAAAGCACAACTACTTAGAAAAATATACATTACTGTTCCACAGTTCTGGGGTCAGAAATTTATTTTTTAAAACAAGGATGCATTAAATGAATTAACTTTTTACATTGTTACAAACAAATTGATATAAATTTCATACAAAATCATATAAATGCAGTTCTTTTTCCTATAAAGGTATTAAGCAGCACAACTGTTTTCAACATTAATAATAATAAGAAATATTATTTGAGCAACACATTACCATATCATTAGAATAATTTATAAAGGATCAAGTGACACTGAAGTCTGGAGTAATAGCTGCTAAAAAATCAGCTTTGCTATTACAAGAATTAATTACATTTTAAAATATATTATAATAGAAAATAGTTCTTTTAAATTGAAATAATATTTCACAATATTACAGTTATTACTTTATCTAATAAATGCAGCCTTGGTGAGTGTAAAAAAAACGAGTTCTTCTATCTTGTAAGATTTTCCATCAAAATGCAAAGCTATGATTCTGTAAGGTTAAAAAAGATCATTTGTGTTGATGTACTGCCTGAGATGTGATGGAACATACCTTGTGGGGTTGGGTGTAGAGCAGATGGGCATCCTCGGGGACTGGAGCAGTGAAGGGATGGTGGGCAGACTCAAGCATCTCTGGATCGTCCTCTTTGGGTAAGAAGAGGGGAAAGTCCACCACCCACAAGAAGTGAAAGACAGATGGGTCACGAACAGGCACGCCATAGCACTCAAGCAGTTCCGCGCACTGCAGTCTCAGCTTCCCCAACAGAGGGCGCTAAAACATGAAACATTCTATTAGCGAAAAATAAAGCACTACAAGAAATCATTAGGACAGAAAGAGTAAATGGTTTCGGACTGCAACACCCACAATGGCTTAAATTAACCTCTATCTTTTGAAGAGAGTTTTATGTGATTTTGTCATTTTTTTAAATATATTTTTATATAACTTAAATTTAGTTTCTAATTTCAGTTTATTTTAGTGCTTCAACTTATACTCATTTCAGTTAGTTGCCAAGGCAACATTTCTAATTTGTATTTGTTTTTTTTATCTATAAATCACCTATATCTATTGTTTTCCATCTATATTTATGTTTCAATTTTATTTAAATTACCAAAAATGATTTTTAACAGTTTTACTTAATGACAACAGTTTTTTTGGGTAACACTTCAGGTTAGGGACCAATTCTTACTGTTAACTTGTTGCTTATTAACATTCCTATTAATAACATATTGGGCTGTTTATTAGTACTTATAAAGCATATATTAATGCATTATTCTGTATGACCATATTTTAGATCCCTTAATCCAACCCCTTACCTAAACTTAACAACTACCTCACTATTAATAAGCAGCAAATTAGGAGTTTATTGAGGCAAAAGTCATACTTAACAGTGTGAATTGGTCACCAAACTAAAGTGTGAATGTTTTTTGTCAAAGGGATCCAATGTTATTTTGAACTTTCACTGTAAGTACAAAAACAGTTCAGACATTCTTCAAAATATCGTCTTTCTTGTTCCACATAAGAAAGAAAACCATAAAGGTTTGGAACAACATGAGGAAATGATGAAAGCATTTTCATTTTGGTTTGAACTATCCCTTTAACATACATAAAAGATTCTGAATGTTTCAGGACATTCAGGATTTCCTCTGAAAAGACACATTCTGAGAATCTAGATCACTGGAGAATAACTTCTAACCTCGGATTAGTCATTTGAAAAATTTGAAAAATCTGAACTAAAACTCAGATTTTTGTTAATTCATGAAACAGCTAAAAATGAGAAAATGCTTTTACAATGCATGTATTTGAGGGCAGGAACATGCAAATTAATTCCTAAGTCTCTAAAACTATATTTGAGGAGAAAGATCTCCCCCAGCTCTAATTTCTCCCACTTTCTGCACTAGCAACATCCCCATTCATCCCACAACCTCAGCTCACAAAGCTCGCCAGTTATCCCCAGCCATCTCCCACATCTCTGCTTTGTGACTAAACAGCCGTCTTACTTTGTGCCAAGCTCACCATCTGCACCAGCCCCGAGCGAGAGCCGAGGCACGGAAAAGATGAAATATTCTAAGTGATTAGATCATGTCAGCATTCTTCTGAAGCCATATTTTCCAAAAACCCTTAGTTATCAATCACTGTAGGGCATAAAAACTGATGGGAAGGTACTTGAGGACATTAAATAGGGATGCTGGGCATTGAATTATCTTCTCCAACCCAAAATGGCTCCATGTACTTGTGGTCTAACTGTTGTTTTATGTAGACATTTGCTCACTGAGCTCTCATGATGTGTTTATGAGATTGAATCAGCATGAGTATATGAATCTGTGAGGATGCGGAACAAAATGCAGGCGGATACACACCACGTTCTCCAAGGGTCCGGCTGTGATGAAGATCAGGTCTCCAGCATTGGCCTGGGCCATCTGGAGCAGCTGCTGTTTGGCCGTGTCCGAAAGCAGCCGGCTGAGAGGGGATTTCAGTGAACCATCTGCCCTTACTGGAGCCACACTCACCTCCTGTACGACACACGGTGCAAACACAGCAATGATCATCCATTTCCTCCACCGGCCCAAATTCAATTTCTATTGACAGCATAGGGCACAAACTCTTGAGCAATCATCAGTCTCGAGAACACTGCGGGCTGGTTTCCCAGACACAAACGAAGCCAAGACCTGGACTAAAATGGATAGCAATGGAGAATCACCTTTGAGGGTGCCAAAAACACTAGCTCAAAGTTCACTTTCCATTTATAAATGCAGACAGAAGACAATATAGAGTGTTTGGTAGGGCTGGGTATCGTTCAAAAATTTCCGATATCGATACCGATACCTTGACTTCGATACCGGTTCCTGAACGATACTTTTTTTCGATACCAATTTTATGAAATCAATTTTAACAAGATTACATTATCTAAAAAAAAACTTTGGTTTTATTTTTTAGCTTGTTGATGCTTATACAAACTCAAAGACTCTCCTGGGCCACTGCACAAAAGGAACAAAATGTAACCAACACAATAAATCAGTGCAAATAGTTTTAATAAAGCTCAAATAGTCTTCAGTTTACACATCTGTTAGGCTGCATTTACACGAGTGCGTGTTCGTTTTAAAACGCATAGTTCAGACAGAATCATGATTTCTATTTATTTTCCACTGATTTACTGATAAGCATTAACAGCTTCTAGCGCTGTCTGCCTGTGTTCTCTCTTCCATGATCGCTGCTCTGACTCAAAGAGTCAGAGGTAATAACATATTTAATTTCAGCAACATTACATGGCCAAAATACACATTAGACGGCAATCGGAAGTTATTACAAACACTCGATGGTGGTTTAAAGTGAGTTTTGAGTAAAAGCGGAATATAAATCTTATTTATTGTCTTATGTAGCATGATGCTACAGTTTGCATGAATGGTCACATAACACGCACTTTCGGTCGTGTAACGTTAGTATGAACGGATATCTGCATATGATTGGAACTCCACGCAGCTCCCGCGCTACTCTCCATTGGAAATTAATGACTGAATCACTGGTCTGTCGCTTGTTGTTTGTCGGAGATAGTGAAAAGCCAGCTTGAAACGCAGTGGAAACGCCAGTATGACGAGGATCGTTTTCATTTTAAAACATAAACGCACCTTCAACGACACATTCATACTACAGTCTCATGTGTGCACCACATCTCTGAGTGTAACCGGTGTAAACTAGTAGGTGTCGAACGTCGGTCCTGGCGTGCCGCAGCCCTGCAGAGTTTTGCTTCAACCCTAATCAAACACACCTGAACAAGCTAATCAAGGTCTGAACGGTTATTAGGAAGCTACAGGCAGGTGAGTTTTAATTAGGGTTAGAGCTGAACTCTGCAGGGCTGCGGCTCTCCAGGACCGGCGTTCGCCACCGCTGCTCTATGGTATCGAGGCATTTCGGTCGGTGCCTAAAAAGTATCGAACTCGATACCCAGCCCTAGTGTTTGGAGTGGGAAAACTAAGCAGAACAGTCAGCTATCAGAAGTGTTGAAGAACATTTGTATTTTTTTTGGCATTTTTAATTTTATTGGATAGTAGAGACTTGACGGAATGGAATGTAAGAGGGGGAAGCCAGAACTTGAATTTGGGTCGCCCAAAGCACAACCAGAAGGCTACTGGCACCGACAGAAGTATTGAGGATAGTGGTTAAACGGATCGTAGTTGATCCGTGATCCGTACGGACCAGGCCCCACGGTTCGGCACGCATGTGATCCGCGGATTATAACCATAATAGAGTATAAGTTTATCATTTGTTCGTATTTACACAAGCAACCAAATTTTAAACAATTCCAGAGAGAAAAGGCGAAAGGGAACTCGATTCGTTACTCGCGCGCTGTTCTCTCAGCTGTACACACGCGTTTCAGACGGCATGCGAACACCGAACTGAATCCTCTGAACAGACACATACACATCTCGACAATCATTCAGGTAAACGCAGTCAGTTATGTCTCAAGTGGATGAAAACAGCTGAGAAAGAAATCGGATGTGATGTGTATCATTATATCGGATCCGTGCATCAGGTCTTAAAGGGACAGTGGCCTATAAATACTGCTTCTGTCATTAATGATCATCAAACAACAACACAGCTGTGATAAAAATCTATATTTAATTTATACAGTGAACACTGCAGTGTTATTTTCCCTAATTATTACATTTCTGTATTTGAATACTACTTTATGGTTAGCGCACGGAGCAGTCTGCTCTCTTTAGCTCTCCTGGTACTGTAATACACCGATCGGTCTGCACGGTTAAGGGGACCCGCGGTGTATGTAGATATAAATTGCTCAATCTAAGGTAATAAAAACATAACGGTTCATTAAGTAAGGTTTTTATACACCTCTGAAAACATAGTTATGTATATTATATTGCATTTCTATCAATAGATCGATGTAAATATTACACATTGCACCTTTAAGGTAAATAATGCTTAAAAAAATGTGGTAACATTTCATTGACATTGATTGATTTTTCTGTTAAGTACTACTGGCAAAACTACACTGATTTACATTTCACAAGCCTCAAGTACAAAATAACACTGTAAGCTGTAAGCTATGCTTGATTCACTAAAAAGAACCAGCTCATTAGGGTCATTCATTATGAGGTTTGACTACACTGGTCATGCTGTATGTTTTTTTTTATTATTATTCACCAAAAACAAACAACTCATAAGAATCAGTTGTTCAGGAGTCGGACTACACTGATTGTGCAATATGTTTTTTATTCACGACAAAGAAATGACTCGTAAGAGTTATTTGTTTGGGAATCAGCTGGACTACACTGGTCATGTTTTATGGTTCTAATTGATCAAAAATAAAGACTTACAAATAATTTTTTCAGGAATCAGTTGGACCACACTGGTTATGGTGGATGGTTAACAAATGGGAATTTTGGGAATTGAACTACACTGGCCATGCAATAAGTTTCAAAAATGAAAACTGTCTCATCATTTTCTCACCTTCATGTTGTTCCAAACCTGTATGACTTACTATATTCAGTAAAACACAAAAGAAGGTATTTTGATTTTCAGTTTTTTGTCCATACAAGGAAAGTCAGTGGGGTCCAAACACTAATATGTAATAGATATAATAAACAAACCCTTTGACTTCCAGTGTATGAACAATAAAAGTTGGGAATTTTTTTCCCTTTATGTTCCATACCAGAAAGTAAGTCACACAAGTTTTGATTGACAGGAGGGTGAGAAAATTACAACAATTTTCATTTTTGGGTAAATTGTCCCAATATTTATGGATAGTTCCCTCATAATAAGCAATAGTAATACAGAGATTTGTGCCTTAGCAGCACCACTAACAAGAGCAGAATAAGACAAGATGCAAATTAGTATTCGTTTTTATCTCAGGACCAAGCATCTGACATGAATTAACATGAAAAATGGATCAAACCATTTTATATGACATGAATCATTACAAGCTATAAATTAGAAATGTACTACATATGTGACCCTGGACCACAAAACTAGTCATAAGTAGCATGGGTATATTTGTAGCAACAGCCAATAATACATTGCATGGGTAAAAATGATTTGAAAAAAGAGAATGATTTGATGATTTGATCAAATGATTTGATCGTGTTCCATGAAGATATTTGATATATTCCTTCCGTTTTTGCACCCTCAGATTCCAGATTTTAAATAGTTGTATCTCGGCCAAATATTGTCCTATCCTAACAAACCATACATTAATGGAAATATTATTTATTCAGCTTTCAGATGATATATAAATCTCAATTTCAAAAAATTGACCCTTATGACTGGTTTTGTGGTCCAGGGTCACATATGGTGTGGAGAAAAAACACATATAACATTCTCTTTATAAGATTCCATGGAGGGCCTACAACACAAATAGGGAGCTGTGCCCCTTTAGTGCGGTTGATCTTGCCTCAGGGTAAGTATGCTGTGTGTTACATTTGACTGTTTTACCACCAAATCATCCTGACTTATTGATTACTTTTCAGATAAATATTTCAGAAGTCTTCCAGTGATGTGCACACACTGAATGCGGGTGGCGTTCCATCAGCAAACAGAGGAGAAAGGAACACAACTCACCTGACCATACTGTGTCTTGGCTGTTTGTTTCAGGAACTCCAAGTCTTTGCCCTTCAGGTGATTCTGTGGAAGAAACGCCACAGACAGTTACCTTCAACTGTTTCAGAGTTAGCATAAGGGGGAGGAGATACATGAATGGGTGAAATTGTAATGCTCAACACATGCAGTTACTTTTTATTAAAAGTGACTAAATAGAATAAAGACCACATGAATTATATCAATGCTTATGCTGCTCATTGATTTCCCGTATAATTCAAGTTAAAAGGAGCACATTTCTGGTTTGGTGCCTTCTCGAAGGACAAGAATATGAATTGTAAGGAATGTAAAAAGAATTTTAATCCTCTAATCAATACTATTTTTTAGCGATTAATTTCGTTATTTTGAGGTGCAAATGAAATTCCTTTAATACTGAATTTACTAATGTGGCAAATTAATTCATTGATTGATACATTCAATCAGATCATAATAATTATTCATTTGAAAACCAGGCTACATTGATTGTGTCGTCAGTTTTAAATCACTAAAAAGAACTGACTGAAAAGATTCATTCATTTGGAAATCTGACTACACTGTTGGGACATTAGAATCAGAATCTACAGATTCTGTCCTTACCGTTCCTTCTGGGACGCAGATGGCCTGAATGCAGCCGCCTGGTTTAAGAAGTGCATCTTTGATAAACTCAATTTGTGTTCCCTGGAATGCTGTGATGACATCCACAAGCTGAAAATAAAAAAAACCTTCAGAAAACACATCAGGAAACAAAGGGAATATAAACTTATTAACAAGACAATTTGCGTATAGTTAGTTATTAATGTGTCTTATGGGAACATACATAAACTTATTTAAAAAAATTTTAACAAAAATAAAAAGTCATTAAAATAAATACATACACTACCATTCAAAGGTTTGAAGTAGAAAAAGGCTCTTATGCACACAAGGCTTTATTTACTTGACCAAAAATACAGTAAAAACAGCAATATTGTGAAATATTATTACAATTTTAAATAACTATTTCTATTTTCATATATTTTAAAATGTAATTTATTCCTGTGATATCAAATCTGAATTTTCAGCAGTCATTACTCCTGTCTTCAGTGTCACATTATCCTTAAGAAATCATTATAATAGGCTGATTTGGTGCTCAAGACACTTTTTATTATTAGCAATGCTAAAAAAAAGTTGTGCTGCTTAATATTATTTTATTTTTTTTTAAACCTGTAATACTTTTTTCAGGATTCTTTGATGAATAGAAAATTCAATAGAACAGCATGTATTTGAAATATACAATTTTCTGTGACATTATACATGTTTTTACTGTCAATTTTATAAGAATTTAATTTATCGATATAATTTAATAAATAATTATGAATTTCTTTAAAAACAAAATCGTACTGACACCAAACTTTTGAATAGTTGTGTATTTAACATTAATCTATTACTTATCTAAATGCCAAAACATCCCAGATTCATCAAAAGGCTCTGTAATTCTGAGGACGCACAACGGTGTGAGAAAATGTATGACAAGAGATTCCTTTTTAATTGTTGAGCACCGCATGAAAATCTGTGATGTATGGGGAAACAGGATGCCAGCACAGCGTGACGCCAAGGACGTCCAGCATGCAAACAACCTCATTGATGTCTTACGTCCAATCTAGGATGATGTGTACAAAGAAAGAACGTGCGGTCACCTTCATCCCAAATCTAGTGTCTGGTTTGTCAACTCCGTAGTCTCTCATGGCTTCCTCATAAGTCATGGAGGGAAAAGGAACATTCATCTGTCCTTTGTCCTCTGGCCAGGAGTAATGGATCAAGCCTTCAATCAAACTCATGACTCCCGCCTGGTCTACAAAGGATATTTCAATATCCACCTAGGACATGTGTCAACAAATAAAAGAGAGAAATGAGGGAAAATGCTTTGTTCACATTGCACGTGAATCTGATTAGTTTTTTTTAATCGGATTCTTTTGCCCAGACGGTGCATAAAATGTGATTTTAATCGGATTTCAAATAAAATACAGACTTGAATGCTGTTCGGATCAGGTTTCAGATATCAGGTGTTTTTTTGCAATTCAGAACATTAACAACTAATTGGATTTGACTCAAATGCACACACAAAAATCAGATTTTTGCTGCCTGTCTGAACAAAAGCATAATGGTCTTTTGGGGTTCATGATTTTTAGTCTGAGTGAGAATCCTGCAAAGCCTATTAGCAGCTCTCACCCTCGCGAGTCGAAGTTAGAGCGAGCCACATCATTAAAACCCTCAATATTCATCTGCATCAGAACTGAGCCCCAGTTTCGCAGATATTGTCAGACGTGCTGCGGCATGTGTCCCCTCAACCTTTAGCACATCATTACCTGTGTGAATTCAGGCTGTCTGTCAGGCTTGGAGCCCTCGTCTCTGTAGCAGCGAGCGAGCTGAAAGTACCTGAGATTGTGGGAGATAACCAGCACGTAAGTGACTGTGGGCCAATACTGACTGACATTTTTAAATCATGCATAGCATATCATTTTCCTTTGACAGACTTTTCATTAAACTAGCCTGCAGTCCTGGCTTAGCGCAACTACTAATTCAAAGAGACTTGCTGCCAAAATTGAAATGAAAATGAGACTATTGTGGTCATTATCATTTTTCAAAATCTAATAGAAACTACTTTTGTGCTTTCTGAACAAAATGAGAGCGGTGCTGCCTGTGCAAAAACGGCAACACAATACTAGTGTGTTCTGGGTGGTTGCCCACACTTTCTCACACTTCTGTTCAGCTGGTTTTGCTTCAACTTTGTTTCACTAAAAAAGGTGCACTCAGAAAAATACTATAATATTTATTAAAAAATAAATAAATAATATACACTCTTCAGTGATTTGAAAGAAGTCTCTTATGCCTACCTCGGCTACATTTATTAGAAAAAAAACCTTTAAAACAGTAAGATTGTGAATGTTGATGTTATTACAACTGAAAATAACTTTCTATTTCAGCATTTTAAAATGTAATTTATTGCATTCTAATATGCTGATTCAGTGCTTGATAAAAGTATAAAATTTATTTCTAAAAAAAATCTTACTGCCCCAAACCTCTGAACAGTAGTGTAAATTTATCATTATTAAAAAATAGTTGCATTATAAATAAAAGGGGAAATCATAACAGGGGAATCCACAATGGTTATTGGTCAAATTTAATGTATCAGTTGATATTGGATATTTAATTGTGCATGTTCATTTCATCTATGTTTACAGGTACATTTATATTACAGCTGCCATCATATTAAATCTGTCATCATCTCAAACTCACTTAAAAAGTTATTATTTACTCTTATTATATACTCTTTAACATATCAGATGCATTGCAAAATTTTAAATGAATGATTTTAGTTTTTAGCATTTTATCTTATTTAGAAGTGCTTAGGGTTAGGGTTAGTAACCCTAACCCTAACCCTTTATAAATATTAATGCTAACTACTCAAATGGGCCAAAGACCCCTTTAATACACAAACATTGGAAACAAAGCTAAACATGTCAGCAGCAACCCACACAGTGGCTGATGTGCTAATAATAGTACCACCTCAAAATTATTTGCTAATGAATTCCAAATTAGAAAAAATCTTCAAAAAGCGGTTAGAATTCAAAGCAGCATTCTAATCCGTATCAGGCAGTACACTCCAAATGCATGTCACTGTTTTGGCATTTCACACAGCATTTGAATGAATGCAGTTCTGCATAATTCAAAGCTGCTAACAGCCAAGAATGCAACTGATTCCAAGAGTATGTTGGCCAACAGGATGTAGTTTTGTTTTCAAGGTGCTGTCAGTCAGTGAAGGCAGAGTTTAGTGAACGTGCCAAGCATCTGACAACAATCTGTGAATATGAAGGAAACAGAAAAAGGCAAGAAAATATGACTTTTACCGGTCTATGCCAGCCACCATAAGAAGCTGTTTGAACTGCTGCGGGCTCTGTGGCAGAGAGTAGAACTTCCCAGGGTCTCCAGTTGGCACCACAAACTCTTTGGCACCCTGAGAAACAGTTACACTTGAATAAACTCTGTGTATTCCTGCCTCTTACTGAGAACTGAATCAGCCAGCATAGCTCAAGCCAATCTGATAAATTAAAGTCACATTATGAAATACAAAAGAGAGAACACAAATAAATTAGCACAGTGCAGAAGGAGATAAAAAACATGCAAAATATAAAACAATATTAAAAACACCTCACTGACTTCTAATGATCTATCTATCTATCTATTTACATATGGTTTGTGAATGTAAGTGCTTAATAACAAATAATCTATGGGATGTGCAGGTTGTGCGGTGACACATAACTTGAAACTATTTCTACAATCAATTTTTTCACTATCTACATTTATGTTCATGGCTATATTAGGGCTATTTGTGGTCCGAAATGCTAAATTTTGACTAAATTAGACGGACCAAACAATGCCCAGTTTTCAACGTCTATTTTTGGTTTAAATTTGGACTAAATCAGATGGACCAAACAAACCCCAATTTTAAGTCGATTGTTGGACTAAATTCGCACCAAATCTGACAGACCAAACAAAGACCAATTTTCAATGTCAATTTTTGGGCTAAATTTAGACTAAATCCGATGGATCAAACAAAGACCAATTTTCAACGTCGATTTTTGGGCTAAAAAAAAGTCCATGACGGGCCCGACTTGATTTAGCCCAAAAAACGGCGTCCAAATGACGTCTGGTGCTGGGTGAGATCAGAGGCGGACAGTAACTAAGTACATTTACTTGAGTATTGTACTTAAGTACACTTTTTGAGTATCGGTACTTTACTTGAGTTAAATTTTTTCTGGGAACTTATAACTTTAACTTCACTACATTTGAAAGACAAATATTGTACTTTTCACTCCACTACATTTCTATCAAGGTCCTCGAAGTAGAAAGTCGTTATTATATAGCACCTTTGAAAGTCAGTGGGTGATTTTTTTTCTTCTCTAAAACTTGACTTTCTTTTTTTTCAGACAGTTTATCAGTAATCACTCTTGTAGGGCTACATGAAATAATTTCCCAGCCTTTTTTGAACACTGACCAGCTGCAAATGTGATATTTATTTACAATAATAAGAAGTTGATATTGTGGTATATACTACACTATTTTCTGATTTTGCTAAATTGTGTACGTGAAAATATTTCTAAGCCACAGAAAAACTGTTGTGCATCTCCTAATAAAACACAATAGGTGTTGGACTTGAAGCAGCACTGCACAGACCATTCTGTGTGTGACATCAAAGTACAGCGA